GCAATTATGTTACACCCTCCTGTCTAACAGCGCAATATTAAGATCCTGTGAGTTGGCCTGACCCCACAGGGCAACAACACTTAACAGCATAAAATTCACAAACCAAGTACATAATTGGGAAATATTCTGCTGATGTTAACTGTCATCATTCCACTGATGACAAGGCGCTGCCCCAGTCATATACAATATGGATAAACAGTACATTTATACCATTTATGAAAACCTGCCACTTTAAAAAAGAAATGTTTGTCATTTTTAGATGACTAGAATAACGCAAACCAACTGGTAAATTATATTAACTCCAGTTAATGGATAACATTCTAATATCATATTAACTTTTAAAGTGAAATAATACTAAGTGACAAACATTCCTTCTTCTTAAATACAAACATTACTTCTGCATGGCACAAGATACAAATGCAATGAGAAAAAGCAAACACCTGAAAGAAAAGCTTTCTGTATGACAGTTTCAAAGGTGTTCTACTGAGAGCAGAGAACATTTACATTTTAGCTCACTAGCCCTACAAGGAATTGCAAACATATCAAATTTTGCTTTTCCTGATTTGCTGTTTTTATCTAAAATTGAAATTATAGGGTAAAATGCAAGCAAAAACAAAAATCCACACATAGACTTCTAATGGCTCCCTTGTACAGTCTGACAAAGAAACAAAACAATTCAAAACAGACACAAATGGATGAGTCACTTAATGCATATCATTAATTCCACTGAACTTGAAGGGAGTGTATTTTGCCTTTGCAGCTCTCCTTTGGGCACCCATATTTCTAGTCGATTATTTAAACTTATCCTGCAGACCTGCACAGAGTTACTCTTCATTCCAAAGTCTATGTGAGGAAGAAATATAGCATATGGCTACATTTCACATAATTTATGTAAGACCTCCTGTTCAAACTCTTTCCAGGTGCAACCAGCAATGTTTGTGCCTGAAGATATTTGATGGACAGGGAACCCATCAGCATTTTGTCTTCCAGGGCATCTGTAACTATCCACAAGCAATTATATGGTTAGGAAATATTTAATTTGGCTTCTCTTCCCAGACAACTTGCTTTGTTAAACATTTGTAAAGACACAAAAACAAGTTCAACCAACCTGTTACTGGCAACATTCTTCTGCCCATGCACATGTGTAAAAACATCAAATCAGCTGACTTACCCTAAGCCCTCTGAAACCATTGTGAATCTTTCTGCTGGTCATCAAATTGGTCTCTATATTTTGGTTTCTCTAGTTTTTCCTTTTGGTAGTCTTGCAGAGCCAAGTCAACTATGAGAGAATGAACTGAACTCCTTCCTAGCTCATTTACCCTCTGTAGGCCAAATTCTGTGCCCAGTGAAAGGGATGAGAGATACATTTGAAGACAACAGAGATGCAAAGATGCAACTGAGGAGAGAATTTAATGCATATATATTTCATAATATGAAATATAATATAAAATA